AAAAATATCATATTCGGGAGCCGCGCCAAAACCTGAGTCGAATAATATACTTTTTTACGCTATCCGATTGTTTTATTTTTAGAATTTCACGTGAAAAAATAGTGAGATTTTGACCAAAACATGAAAATGAACGAGAAATCTTGAAATATATATCATTCGACTCAGTTCGCTGATTCCGAATATGATATTTTTATTGTATAAAAAATGAGTTCTGGCGATGGAGAAAATTGAGAGTTAAGGGTCAGAATTCTGATTTATTCGCTCCGGATCTAGAAAAACTGAATTTTCGCAGCGATGAAACAAAATAAAAAAAGCGATCTATACTTTTAAAGCGCGATTAATAGCAGTATGCGTTTAATGAAGTAAAAATCTCCGCTTCATCTCTTCACAAAAAAATACTCGGTAGGTTTGCAAAATTATTTATGAACTTTTTACCGGGCAAATATAATATAGACGCCTTAGATAGACCTGCAACCTCAATCTCGATCAAACATTTTCATACTCAGTTTTTGATTCTGAATATGGAAAAAGTACTTTCAAAAAGTTAGAAGAGCGAAAAAGAAAAAATTTTGAATATTTTTGAAACTGAACGTTTTTCGAAATTTTAGACTCTTCAAGTATTTTCAATTTTTCGACATGAAAATAATTATTTCAAACATATAAACACATATTTTTTTCTCCAGATCGACGAGCACTCGTGTATAAAAACTGCGAAAATAAAAATGTGCTGAAGTTCCGAGTTTCCAGCACCCTACAATTCTAACAAATGCAGCTGTTAAAAGTAATGTTAAGCAACAAAAGGTTCTGTAGTACGATAGATCGATTTTCTTCTTACTTTTTTAATGCTCGTTAGATACTTCTAAAAAATGACGAAAGTTTTGACGAAAGTGTATGGTTAGTAGAAGTTGAAATGTTGAACACTGATAGTTGTCATGATCTTCTTCCAAACAGATTCAAAAAACTTGATAGATGCTTTCTATGGATGTCTATTATTGGTATATGGTAAAAATTAATGTCTTACTATTAGAAACTTTACGCAAATCTATGAGAATACCGAAGTTTGCCCAAACTCTAAGTTTTTTATAGTAAGACATTAGTTTTACACAATAAAATCAAAATTAGAAAAATCGATTGCGCGTCAACGAGAAAATTGCGATAAGTTTTGCCCAAAAGTTTATGATTTGGAAGGATTTGGTTATCGAAAAAGTAAATACTGAAAAATTACTTTTTTTTTTCTTTACCTTGAACAGATCGAAAACAAGTTTCAACTAAATCTGATATTCTCACTGAATACTGCTGCAAATATTTTATCGACTAGTAAAACTTCGAATAACCAAGATTTAGGATTCTTGAGTTATGTATTCAAGATGTTGGTGAAAATTTTGTAAACAAAAATATTTCAAGATCTTGAGTACTCCAGTAAACACGTTTATCACTGTTTTTGCACTGATTTTCTTGAAAATCTTGAATGAATAACTTTTTTACATTTTTTTCGTGTTGACAGTCATAGTTATCAGACATACTATCATAAAAAAAAGCTCGTTTTTTCGCTAATACGATAAAAAAGCAATTGCAAAGTTCTTATACGTATGAAAAGTTTTCCGTTTCGATCCGAACAAGACTGTGGGTTATCTATCAAGATCTATCTAGATCGTAGTATAGGAAGTAAAACAAGTTCCAAGATGGTCAAAGACTTGTTAGAATTTCTTAAATTTTTACGTTTTTTTTATTATCAAGATCATGCTGGAAAATTCAAGACGTCCATATCTTTATCATAAGAAGGTTTACTAGGAATTAGCTTCTAAACCACTTTCAAAGAGAAATCTCTCTATTTTCTTTTGTTTTTAACAATGATGAAACAATATACAATGACAGAGAACTAATAGAAGGACGGATGTTAGATAAACTTATACAAAAGATGTCTATCATTTGAAATAGCGTATCTCGTCGGAATGTAATCGAAATTACAAATTTATTTACATATGATTATTTCGTTATAGGATTAACTTCTAAATATTGATATTCTTTTTATTACATTCTGTCTTTTTAAGTGTGAATTGGATTCTGTTTATTATAAAATCGTTAAATCTAAACATACATCTAACATGGTTAACAAGACTTTACTAATATTTATACAATAGCTCACTTTTGATAAAACGTAGACACGCTGTGCTGCTATATTTAATGCTGAGCTTGATTTAAAGTCAACTTACCATATCACCTAAACCATTGGACTGCATAAATAGGAGAAGAAAATATAACAAAGTGCATAATTGATTGAAATGCATGAAATCCGATTTCAATTTTTTACAGGTATGTATTGTACAATTTTAGAAAAAATAAATAATTTGATTCCATTTTTGAAACAATGTAGAAATTTTTTTTTTTTCTATTATTACTGTTCTATAGATAGATATTTAACTTTTAGTAAAGCTAGAAGAAGAAAATGAAAACTAATAGTGTGTATGATAAGCAGCTGACGTTATATGACAGCGCTATGTTATATGTGTACGCCTGCATCCGTTTTTTAACAGACATTAACAACAAAAAAAAAAACAATTGTCTTGACAGATCTACGTACATCATGTCCTAAATATTTTTTTTTTCTATTGCATAGGAGCAAGGCTAATTTATATATTGATGAAAACAATTATCTAACGCCGCAGAGAGAGAGAGAGGGAGAAACAAGAGTTAAACTCATAATTATGATATCTCAAAAGGAAATTTATCATGCTGATATTCTAGAAATAAGAAATTGTTCATTTTCAAAACAAAAAAAAACAAAACTTTTTCTATATTACACCCAGAAAACGTTGATGACATGTGTATCGTTAATCCTCAATTATGAAATGACACTTGCTTATAAATACTTGAATACCGTTGACAAAAAAAACATTCTCTAAGCACAGATTTCTATCTGATTATAAGAATAATCCAGAAACTCAAGTATAATTTTTATTCTAAGATATTTTGTTTTTACATCAAAAGATTAATATTACGAATATCAGACATGCTTAACTATTAACATTTATCAAAGCTAATTTCGTTTTTTTAAAATAAACTACAGTTTACATGTCTCAACTTGTTTTCGTATGATAGCATTTAAAATAAATCGTGTTTTACCTGGTATTTTGATTGTATATTTGCTAGTGTTACGTCTGTATCAAGTGAAAGTATACCATCGAAAATGATCATCAAGAAAATTAATAAAATTATTTTATTCATTGAAAGCAGAAAAATGATTAATTTTTCTTCTTCTATTGTTTGTTAAAAGAGTCGATGCATCTTTTATTTTATTTATGCTGCTGTTGTTGTTGATGTTAAAATGATGAAGTTTATTATAGATTAAAAATAGAAATGTGTATGTTTATATTATTAAAACAAAAAAACCTTAGATCAAATCTTTATTTGACCTCACATACATAACGTAGAATAACGTAGAAGAATTTAATTGCTAAGATATGTATAATAAAAATAAAAAAAATCGTATGTTCTCTGTTCTTCTCTTCTCTCCTCTTCTCTTTTGTCTTCTCTGCACTACTTGTAACTAGATACATTCGTGTTACACTATCTTTGCAATAATTTTGGACAGACTCATTCGTCACTGAAGATGCTGATGATGCGCGCTTGCATGTTATAGAAAAAAAAAATTATATACTCGTTATTCTATTACTATTATTATTATCGCTAATTAATCCACACAATCAGAAATATGATGATTAGCTAGAAATATTTTGTAACATATCAAACGAATAAATCTGTAACACTTTCGACGACATTTACATTACAAATTTTATGGAACAATCTCAGTGCAAAATGTATATAGAATAACAACGAACCAACAAATTTGTTGAGATACATACAGTAAAATAAAAATAAAAGTTTAATTTAGAAAAAAAAAATATTTGAAATTTGAAATTTTCTAACACACAATAATATATATTTTCGAAATTTATTAAAAATATTCGCTCTATAAAATATTCCTACACATGTTGTACTAGTAGATTTCATCAAATGACACCTGTGCATTATAGAGAGATGAATATTTATGTTTACAAAACACATCCTGAAATATCTTTACTAACATTTTATCTCCAAACGACTGTGCTGCTCGTGAAATAATTACACGGGAAAGAACAAGTTAGTATAATATGGTTTCTTCTCATCCAATCAACGCTACATTGATGAATCATCGAACAATCTAAAATAATTTGAAATAAATAAAATAAAACAAGCGTTTTTGAACAACAACATACAAATTCTCTTTTTATAACTCTATAAAATAAATAAATAGAATAATAAAATAGTGTTACTAGTCAGTGGTCTAGTTTATATCGTCTTCTGCATCTTTTATGGGTGGATCTTTTTCTCAAATACGAGAATCTCGTACGAAACGTGAATCTTTACACGAAGCAATACGTCGTAAGGATGTTAAAAAAGTAAAACAGATTATTTACAGTAACGATCTTGATGTTAAAAATGATTTTAAATCATTGGAGTTAGCAACATTATACAATCTGACAGAAATTGTTGAATTATTATTAAATCGTGGATGCATTCCGAGTGATAAACGCACAGCAAGAGCATTTGATTTAGGTAAAAATCTGAATCTATATCACACACACAATTGCTTAATCTCTGAGACTCTCAGCATGGGACCATCGACAACATCATTCACTGTGTAGACTGTTACTTATCACATGTTATAAGAAAACTGTTTTTTTCGGAGATTCTCAGATTTTTCTAAAGACTATTGACCATTGTAGCGGTGTGGAAATGTCACAAAGATATCGCCACAATGTTTTTGAAAGCGGGTATTGAATACAAAGGTCGTAATCAATACAATGAAACAATTTTATATGTGGCGGCATGTGGTAATAACTCAACGTTGACAGAAATTTTGATCGAAGGTGGCTGTGATTTGAATGAATGTACTCGATCATGGTGAGAAAAAATGTTTGCTAGCATTATCAAAATATTTATCTTTTTTTGCACATTTTTTTTTAGGACTGCATTACATGTTGCCGCCGCAAGAAATCATGATGATGTATTGCGTGTATTAGTTAAACATGGTTGTGATTCAAATATCCGAGATCGTGATGGTTTCAATGCTTTAATGTTAGCCGTTCTAAATGAAAATCTAAAAAATATTAAGTTATTGGTTTTGTGTGGTTGTTCAATAAAATTAGATGAATTATATTCGGTAAATACACATAACTGAACAACTTTTGCAACTATGATGATTTATTTTCTTTGTTACTTATAGACACCTTGTCTAGCTAAACAATTAATGAAATATCCAGAAATTGAACGAGTTTTATGGCAAGAGGTATCACGTGTTAAAGATCTGAAAGAATTGTGTCGGCAAAAAATAAGATGTGCATTAAGCCAACGATTATGGCGAAAAGTAAACTTTTTAAATTTACCAAAAAAACTGAAAGATTATGTAGCGTTAAAAGAATTGTTTATGTCGTTTGAACAACAACAACCATCAGTTTTACGTTCTCCAACAACAGAAATTCAATCATTAGAAGAATGATCCTTGTGTTTCTTCCATTTTCGTTTGCATTCTGAATCTCATTTTAGCCTTTGTAATTGTCTCAGTCTCGTTTTAACATTATGCCATTTTATTAGTTTTCTCTAATAAGGATGAATAAGAAAATGCTTAGCTCTACTATCTATAGATCCATTTACTTTTTCACATTCACATTTGGGAAATGTTGGTATTTTTCTCATAAAGAGTACATCATGAATTCTATGGTAAGGATTTAAAGAAAGACAGGAGATTTTTATGTGTGATCGGAACAGTTTCAAGCATATTTTGTGTAGAAATACCTGGAGATACTAGTTCCTGTGTGGCGTGCTTTAACTCGCAAATATAATCAGGTTAGAAGTAAATCCAAATCTCAAGTTTGAACTGGGTAATTTGGATCTGTTATACAGAATTAGATCTAGACTAAAAAATAAATCCATATCACCGTGCAATTGTTCTGGTCTAAACCTTATTAGTTTATTTAACAAATTCGAATAGGTTTTTATTGAAAACTAATACGTCTCATGCTCATTTTAAACATTCTTCTTCCGATATATTGTTTAGTATTAAAGAGAGTCTAATTTGATTTTGTTGTCAAGCTTCTGGTTGTTGGTAGAATTTGGCTTCAGAGCCAATTAAGATAGGTCGAGTTATAGGTTAGGCGAACGGATCTGAACTATACCTGATAGTTTCTAATTTCTAATAGTGAGTTTTTGAACTGTGTCATCATCGTTATACCTAATCCATTCTTTGAATGTTGTTCTTGTTATTATTGTTTTTTCTAGTATACTACGCTTTATTCAGCATTAAATATTTTTGTTCAGATTCTCTTCTATAGTTGTTCTTTTTTTGAATTTATTTTTTTGATCATTTATTTTTGTTTTTCAAAATAACTTTTTAGCTAACTAGAACATGTTTCATTCATCAACATAGGAAAATTCTTCTGATGAGCGATGTGTATTGGAAATTAGAGTTCTTGATTACCTACTACGAATAGCTATTGAAAATTGTTTACTATTTCTTTTGTTTTAGCAGTAAGATGAAAATTATTGTATAAGAGCATATTTTGCTGTAAGATAGATCTATGAATCTAGTCAATATATATTATTTTATTTTTTATGTCAGAAAAACGTCTATAATTGATTTTGTTTTTCTATAAATTAAAGTTATTTTCTTATATGTTACTTTTTTGCTCTAATATTTTCTAGAATTATTTATTTTATTTTTTTTTGTTGTTACTATTATTTGAATTATAGTCTTATTTGTTTTGACTACAAATTGTCGTATTTCTATGGTTGGTTTATTTTTTATTTATTCCAGGTATTTGTCGATTTCATTGTCATATGTTTCAGATCGAAGGATGTCTTTACGGGTTTTGTTCTTTTATTGTTCATAGAAATCGGCAGTATTTTATTGAACAAAAAAATTCTTTCTTTTTTCTTTTAATAACAAGTTTCTTTTTGATCAATAAATAATATTAAATTTAAAAATGAATTGTTTTGACATTGTATGAAATATGGCAAACATAAACACTATTATGAGAATAATTTTGATATTTTAAACTTAACGTTGACCGTATTAAATAAATTTGTTTTATAACCGATTTTTAGTTACAAAAAAGCTTGCACCTTGGAAACTTAAACTGGCCCTTACTCCATGTGCAGACTGCTTTATGTAACTTTTCTCTTAACACAGTTCAGAATATATGTAGAACATCATCGAAATAATTCGGTGATAAAATTCTAACGTATCTAGAAAAAAGACAGTCTCCATCGTCAAAATTTTATATGAATCACCCGAGTTTATTACGATTTAAGAAAGCAGTTTTCAAGACTTAAGCTTAAGCCCTAACTAAAAAGCAATTGTAAAACAACGTTATTTAGTATTATACGATATGTAGAATATTTAAATTCGTTGGTACAGATAGTACTTCAAATAATGTGAAAATATTAACACTTTCTCATTAGAACAGTTGCTAATGTTTTTCGGTTTTTCCTTGTAGATGAGTACTACACCGTTAAAAATTCCGGTCACTGAATGGGCTATGTGGGCAAATGAACATGTTCTTCTAACTGGTTATGTGCTAGGTTTATTCAGCATATTAGAAATATCATTTCAATTTTCACTATGGCCTATCGGAATCTATTCTCTGATATTATCTATAGCATTAATTGTATTTGAGTATCCACGTAGTCGAAAATTTGTGGGAAAAGCAAGACCACGAAGGTGGCAACAGTTTCCCACAGCTATACTAAAACGTCTAGGTCCATTTTCACGCAATTATTTTTTTCGTTTTGTTGCGTATGTTTTGTTAAGTATACCGTGTTTTCTTCTTATTTCCACGTTCGTACCTGCGACCAGTTTGGTCTTTGGTGCGTTCATTTACGGTGTTGCAGCTTTATATCATGAAAGATGGAAACCAGTAGAAATTGTTGACGTTAATGACCAACAAAACCTTATACAAGGTGTACAAAGTCCTACGAGACCACCACCACGCGAACCGATCTATAATCAAATTTAAAAGTTAAACCTTTTATGTTAAAAATCTACCTCTTACCCTCTCTTACTGTACATTCAATATATTTTTTTATTTTTGTAAAAGAAACAGTTTTTCTAGAATAAAATGAGAAACGTATTTGTTTAGAAGTCTTTTAATATAATGATACATCCTATGAATTCAGATGGAGTTTGTCTATTAATCGAAGAATGCTGTGGGGTAAAAGAGACACATGAATAACATTCTTCACATTTTGGATCTGGCTCGAAAACTACCGAGCATTCTTCGGAGATTTTTGTATCAGCATGTAGACAAATGTTTGATCTACCATGATATTCAATAGTTTTTAACAAAAACAGTTTAAACAAGTTTTTCCAATCAAAAACGATTGAGAACTAGCAAAAATATGGCAAAACTTTCAAAATATGCCTCGTTTTATGTCAAGTACTTGAGATGTTTTATCATTCATCTTTTTCTATATTTTTGTCGAGTCTGCCACTATATTGAAAAAAACGATTATAGTAAAATGAATTGGTTATACAGTGGGCATTTTTCTATATAGCAGGCAGACATATTCTGTAGAACTGGTATGAAAGCCTATAAACATGTTTTTCTATTGGTTTTCGAATATGCTCTTTCTAATGATGAGATTTTCAGAACTCAGAAGTAATTCCTTGTGGGTTTTCTAGAGATTGGATCTCTGGAAAACCCATAAAAAATATTTTTACATTTCGAAAACCTCACTATTGGAGAGATCATATTCGAAAACCTATAAAAAATGTGTTTATACACTTGCGTACTATTGCTAAAATAAATATCCAACTTCCTAAGCAAAATTTGCTGCGGACAGGCTTTCAACTGTATAATTCAGTTTGACCGAAAATATTCCTGCAGAAAAATTAAAAAGCTATATATCATTCGACGTAGTTTTTCACGGTGATTCCGAATATGACTTTATGTTATGGAAAAAGTGCTCTTATGGGGGAGAAAATTGCGAATTACCTCGAAAACAGAAAAAAAGACGAGAAAAGACGAGATCATCATAAATACACGATAGGCCGAGGAACATTTTCATGTAATTAGAAGGTCTGTTCAGGCTTAGCGCTTTTTAGCGCTGTCACTGCACTGAAGTTGTCTCATGTCGGACCATAGTCATCTAGACTACTAGACCTTTTTTCGTTTCGTACAAGATGCAAAAGGAGTACCTTCTATTATCAGGAGATGGAATAGGTTGTGCTGATTCCGAATATGTGCTTTAGATAGGGTAATATTGCACGTCTGTACATAGAAATAAGAATCTTTGTAAATGTGTCATATCTGACGGTGTTTTTTGTGAATGTTCGTAAGTTAACTTACTCATCGAAGAAGTTCATTAATAGTCGATCATTATATACCATTCGATAGCGCTTCTCAAGGACTACATTTACTACTGTTCGAATTCAAAAAAGCTCACTTGTCGATTTTTGCTCAAATTTCCGCCTGAATGTCCACTGTGTATCAGTCTAAAACAATCGCAGATTATATGAAGATTCGGTTTTGCTTGCAAATAAGCAATTTGGGTTATTATTAATAGAAACCGCTTTTCCCTAGCAGCAACCACGAAGAGAAAGTACTTCTCAATAGAAACGTACTGCTCTAGGGGTTGTTTGCGTATAATAGGACGTAGCCTCCATATCGAACGACATTAAGGTAAACAAATATTGATACCACCAGCATCATTAAATAATAAAAATATTCTATTCAATTACGTAACCAAATAGTTCACTTAGAACAAATAAATTTAAAATATCAATCAGAAGTAGACAACTTAGACTTAAGTCCGGATTTGAAGCATTTGCTGACGAACTTAGACATGAGTTGAACTAGAGGAATTTTTTGAAGTCTATCTGAAGTCCAAGTAAAACATATTCAAGAATAATGTCAATGTCGTACGTCTTTTAATCTCCTCTCTTTTGTTAAACATATATCCAATGTGTGATAACGATTAAAATTTATTTATATGATTTTGACCTTCGTTAACTTGGTTTTCTTATTATTCTCGTTGATATTTGAGATTTTAACTGTATTTTAATAATCAAATAGACGTTATTGTTATTCAAGTCAAGAATTTGTCCATCTCTGCCGGGAATTGAACTCGAATGATATTAGTTTGCTCTACCTATGCTCTAACGTTTGAGATACGAAGCAGTCTAGTTGCGTGTAGTCTTCTCAATGAATAACTTTAGTCATTAGTTATGTAATACTATAGCAGCATTCAAACCTTCGTCGGGATCGATTATAGGCTGCACGTTAGAAATTATTTCCGTAATGGTTAGTTTGAAAATCATTCACAGAGAAGACTACGTGAAACAGAGATCGTCACGGACCGTGAAAACCCATAGAGGCCCACGAATCTTGTTTATGAGTCGTACAGGGCTGCCATTTGATAGTCCGCATGGGGGTCCCTTTTCCCTCAAAAGTCGATAAAACGTCGAAAGGCAACGCTCACATTAAATGTGGAAAAAAGACACTATCCTCTCTTGAAAATGTCACTAACGAAGTTGGTTGTCCTTGAAGCATTCGTTCTATACATTCAAATACATTCTACGAGCCGGCACGTAGAATGTATTTATACCCTTCGTATGGACCCTCCACCAAATTGATGTTTTCTCTCCGGACGGGACCGAACCGGGCCAAACTTCTTGAGCCCAGATAAAAAAAATGGCCAGGATCCCGATGTGAACTTAGACTTCTGTTTTGTTGCTAATGTGATTGAATTACGTCCATATTTTTTAAACTTTGAACCACTCGAATCATCTATATATCTATTCCAAAGCATGTTTGTTCTTCTGAAATGTAAATAGTTTTCAATAATTAACTTTATTTTCTTTCTAATAATAAAATATCATCAAAAAATATCTGACATTGTAAAATCTGTTACATAGAAGAAAGACAAATTGAATATTGCACAAAAAATTAATTCGTATTTGGATATTTTGGAACAAAAAATTTTTTTCCATTTTTTATATAACTTCTTGTATGCGTAAAAAGTAAAGAATTAAATTCATTAGTTGATGTTGTGAGATTTCTAAAGCGGATAAAAATACATGCAATAGCTCAATTATAGACAAATGAAATACTACTCACATTAGAAATGGTTCTAATTCGTCTAATGACCAGACATCTTTTTTACTAAACAAAGTTTTAAATCTAAACAACAAAATTCTGTCAGTAATCAATTTTCATTCGATTGTATACTATAAAATTACCGTTCATCAACATTTTCACTTAGTAAATCCGCATCAGTATAGGTAATTGTGTTATCCGTAATAATAACCAGACCCTGTCAAAAAATAATAAGCTATGCCATATCTCAAATATTCGTACATGTTTATCTTACTTTTAACTGATCAATATTAACAACGAAACCGTCTGGTACACATTCGCTCCAGCACGTCATGAATTCATCTAATTTCATCTATTAAAACACAATAAGATAGTCTATATGAAGGAATGAAGAATAAATTTAATTTACCTACTTTCTCAAGGTTTTTTAATAAATCAAGCGCATAATGCTTACATATAGCCACTTTATCCAGATTTATTGAACGACCTACAAAAAAGAAATCAATTAAAAACGAATGTCATTTTGATTTGAAAACGTACCGTCCTGGGATACTGATCCCATTTGCTGAATTGCTTGTTTAGCTATATTTCTAAATTATAAAAGCAATGTGTATAAGATGTCTTTGTATCATCTAATCACAGACTTGGGACATATTGAATTCATTTCACTGGCGGCGTCGACAATTGGAATTTCTTCAAACAACCATTCTTTGATTGAAATTAACGATAGTAAGTATTCAATTAGTTTTGTACAATAATCGAAGTCCAACATACGTAGAGAACCTACATATAAAAAATAAATGATTATTCACATTGTACGAATTACGTTGACACCTATTATCTACCATCGACTGTAACAACATTAAGTTTTTTCAAATAATTTGTTATATCTTTGTCAGAAGCTTGAATTTCATTCTTTAAGTCATCAAATGTAATCTAAAATATAACAAAAAGTAAACATTTTTCCTTTCATATTTCTACAATCTATTCGAACCTTTGTAACATTTTCATCGTCATCAAATTGACCACAATATGGATTTTTCTCTAATAAAGTTCGTATTCGTCTTAGTTTTGGCACACAACGGATTAATTCAAATTTGCTGTGCACAATCGAATTGACCTTCGAAACAAAAAAGAATAGATAAATTTAACTGTTCTGAACCGCGAAGTTGATGTAAGGTTTCTGTCTCAGTAAGTATATTATAGAAGGTCTATATACTTGCAAATTCACACATCCATTTTCTTTGTTTTCATCTTCATTCTTGTTTTCTTTTATTTGATTTGCTAACAAAATTGTATTTGATGTTTCAGCTGATTTAAGCTCGAAAGTACCATCTGTCGTGCATAGCACAGCAAAATCGTCGGCTGTTCCGCGCAGTATAAGTCTACAATAGAAGAATATATACTTCAAAATAATTCACTGTAAGTTTCTATTGCTTCGGAATTTCTTATATACCTTTTTGCTGTATCTAATTCATTCAAAATTTGATTATTTGCTTCAAGCAAACGAGTTGATTCATCAGGAAATGAGGTACCAATTTTTATTTCATAATATAATGGTTTTAATGTTTCCAATGGTATACGTGCTTCAGATAATAATTTTTCAATCTCATCCGGAAACTTGTTCGCCATGAATTAAAACTATCTAGAAGATGTCAGTCGGTCTAAGAGTTTCAATGGTAATACAAAACTTTCGAGACGACTGTTCATACATTCTCCCTCTTTCTTTCCGCTGGTTACGATGCAATCTCAAGAAAAAGAGGGGCTATTATCTAACTGTTCTTGACTTCATGATATCAGAAACTTAATTGAAAATTCCAGCTTGTTAACTATTTTCTCAAGATTTCTCTTGAATCTGTTGACCTTATTATATTTTGCATCGGTCCTATTCTTCTCGAAAGCCAAAAAAAACTAATCGCAAGCAACTTTTTGACAAACTGTAAACTAAGAGAGCATTCTATCTTGAAGAAACGTAGAAGAGAATACACAAGTAAACAATGATTTTATTACAAAAAAAAACATATGATTTTGAAGAAAAATAAGAAGGATTACCCTAAATGAATGTATTATACATTCTACTTTTGGTTTATTTTTTGCTAGTACACATACAAACGAAAAGAACACGAAAGATAACAAATATATTACATTGAACAGTTAGTAACAAAATTTCCTAAATTAAAACATGAAATAACGTTGAGCTAACGGAAGTCGAGCAGCTTGAGGTAGCGGTTCATTCACAGTTTTTACACCGTCTTTTTCTGAAGTAATCTGACCAGTAGTAGTATCAACTAAAACAAATGCAAAAAACATAATCCTTTCTGTACAATCAGATATTCTTTTGTTACCATCAATTTTTGGAGCAGTTACGTTATGAATCATTGATAAACGTGTAGCATTTCGAATGTCTCTCACAGCTTCAATATGTTTGAATATGCCATAAGTATTTGATGTATTCAATTCAGCACAAGCCTACGGCGTAAAACGTCAGAACATGCGAATTTCCCGTTAAGCTATATATTACTCACTTTCGAAACAAATAATAGTGAATTAGCGCTTGGACTGCGACCCATAGCACCAAATTTTTTTCGAAAACAAACTGGTTGTGGTCGAACATCAGCATATAAACCAATACCAGATTGTGACCATGAAACTTGACCACCTTTGATAATCATTTCTGGTTTAACACCAAAAAATGCCTGCAAAGCAATTCAAGTTCAATAAATTCGAAGCAAAAACGTCACAACAGAGTATCACTAGCAGCTGTTCGCTTACCGGTTGCCATAACACGAGATCAGCCATTTTATTTTGTTCAATCGAACCAAGTGCGTGTGAACATCCATGTGCTATTGCCGGATTTATCGTATATTTGGCAAGATAACGCTTTACGCGAAAATTATCATTAGCATTTTCCTAGAGAAAAAACCACAAATATTTCACTTAGTAACTGTTAAGAAATAAAAAAAAATAATCGTTTACATTATCTTCCGGTAAATAACCACTGATTTCTTTCATTTTATCCGCAATTTGCCATGTTCGTGATACAATTCGGCCAACATGACCACCCGACTAAAAATAAAAACAAGATCGATATATTGGTAGAAAAAAAACATGGTGTACTTACTTGTGAGGAAGATGATATTATACTTATTGCTCCCAAATCATGTAAAAAATCTTCAATAGCAAATTGTTTTTGATTTTCACTAAAAAATGGTAGTAATTGTTACGTTATATGTTATACGTTATGAGAGTTATATGTTTCTGAGCCTACCCTGGTTGTCTGTAAACAGCTGCTTTGTTATTACATGAAGTGATGATAACATTTGGTTGTTGTAATAAATCAAAAAAGTTTTTTCTGGCTGCTGCCGTCTCTGTACATGGAATGATAACAACACGATCACGAAACATCTGAATAGCATCGGGTGCACTATACGCTTCATGTAAACTATCGAGATCGGCATGAACCTAAACAATGATTTCATGTTTTATCAGAGGCTTCAATAGCAACAGGATAGAAAGTTAAACATACGCTAATATCATGATATTCAGCTACTCTTAAACACGTATCAACTGCAGATGGTGTTGCTCCCCAACGTTCATCTAATCTCAGACTAAACAAACAAATCGAGTTATAAACAATAAATAATAAGATGAATATAGTTTCTTACCCAATTGCTCCGGCTACAATTTGATCTTCTAACTCTTTCGCTAAACCTAATAGAAAATGAATAAAGATACAATTATTATTCCGAATTCACTATCAAGTAGATCAATTTCTTACCTTCAGTTTTCGATGTATTTCCTTTACCATAGAAACCAAAATTTAGTGGATAATCATCTGTCGCTTGTATCATGTATTTGATATGATTTGGCCCTGGTGTTGACATCGTTACAGAGCCAAGAGTTCCGGTACCGCCACCAAACATTGTCGTTACACCTCCCATTACTGCTTCGGTTATCACCTGAAAGAGCAATAATTTAATGTAGAAGACCTTGTGCTAAAGCTCAGAAACATTTTACGTCGGGTGAAGTGAAACATGCGGCACCGTCGATTGCACCGGCTGTTAGTATAAGACCTTCGCCTTGAATAACTTCGGTTCCAACACCAATAACCATACCCTAAAATAGTTTTAATTTGAATAATCTATCACGAATATGCGAGCAAGAAAGCGTACAGGAGTTACACCAGTCATTGTCTGTGGATTACCAGCTTTGCCTATACCAGATATTGTTCCATCCTATAAAATCAAAAAGAAAAAGCAGAAATGAGCAACTGATTATATTTAAATATCTGCTAAACATGACATACTTTGATGCCTAGATCAGCTTTAATGATGCCCGCAACAGTATCGATAATAACCACATTTGTTACAACTGTATCCAATGCAACATCATTTCGTGTATTTGATGCTTGTCCCATGCCTTCTCTTAACACCTAAGCATAAGAATACACAAAAGTAATATGACGGTCTTTACAGCAATCACAAACCTTTCCCAGTCCAAATGTACATTCTTCGCCATACGTTGTCAAATCAAGTTCAATTTGAATTGCTAAATTCGTGTCACCAAGCAACATCTAATACAATACATACTGCTGATGCAATGGAATTCAGTTTTATGACAACAATACTCACTCGGTCACCAGTTGTGGGACCATAACGTGTTAAATATTGCTCGCGTGTTATCGTGTATTTAGTTGAACGACGTGCTGACTTTTCTGTATTATTCTTCTACAAAGCACAACAGAAAATAATGAGGTTCAAATACTAAAAATTCAAGTGACTTTTTGCGCATACTTCATCCACATGTAAGAAATTATTCTTCCTTAAATTTTTTTGATTTTTTTTTAAATTTTCTTCATTCACAGGTCCATCGAATAAACCATTTCCGCCATGTATAATTCTTAACAAAAAAAAGAAAACACTGATAAAGTTGTCAACAAAATACTAAAGAGTAAATCATTTACCTCAATCCACCAATGGGTATTATTGGAGCTTCTTTTTGTTCACCGGGTGCAAAAGTTAATATATCACCTGCAGGAATATTCTAAAATATTGGTAACAGCATGTTTCTTTCATCGATCATGAGGGGGATAATAATAAGCACGGCCTGAAATAGCCAATGTACGTGGGCTTACTGTTTTTTCTCTCAATTAAAAATTGAACCATTACCTACCAGACGCATCCCATAAGCAAGATTTCTGTCAAATGATAGATGACGATTTGCTTCAACAAAATGAAAATGGCTTCCAATCTAAAATTTGAGCGTAGTAAATTAATTATAAGTATATCTGAAGTCAAAGAATACCCACAGAAATAAGTTCATTGCTTTCATTCGTCACTGTAAGAAATGTACTATCACGATCATTATTAATAGCGATTGGTTGCGCATCTTTCAAAAATATTTCACCGGGATGTGAGCCGGATTCAACATCACCATTTTGCTGCAAAAATAGACATTATTTTTATTGTATCACATACAAAAAAGCCAAAATAGCAATAACTTACCTGAAAACGTTCCAGAGACGGTAGTGGTAGAAAACTTCCATATAAAGCTAACTCAAGATCACCTTGATCAGTGCATATGGGATTACGAATATTAACCTATTATTTGACAAAAATAGTCTGTTGACGTGTGACCACTTCATACATTAACCTAATTTTTAAAAACTTACAACTTTAAGTCCATCTGGAAATGTTCCTTCAATATGAATTTCTTTCAACATTTGTGGTACACCATTCATTACCATTTGTTTTCCCAACATTTTTTTTGCACTTTGTTGAATTTCGGCTAATCCACGACCACCATCCCGAATGAGTTCCAAACACTACAAAAAAAACCAATATGTTCGAACAAAAAAGTATCTAACGAAACTGACAACATACTTGACATGAAATAAGTGCAACTGCCTCTGGATGATTCAATCGAAGTCCACGCGCAAGACGTTTTTGAGCTATAAAACCAGCATGATGCATTTCCAAACATTCGACATCACGTTCTGTTAAACGCATTTTATTCTTATGCGCTTAAATTTTTATCTACAAATTAAAAAGATAATCTATTCCTATCTTCTAAAAGAGAAGTGTAGTTTATTAAAGAAGAAAATCCTCAAAAAAAAAGAGACGAAAATGTTTTTGTAGTATACAAACACGCACTGTTCATTTTATGACATCGAATCATTCTCAATTCGTTCTGTATATCCTTTATTCATTTCAAACTTTTTCTGATAATACCTGGGGTATTTTTCTACGCTCATCAATCATAAGAAATGAATTAGAAAACTATCAATGCTACTATCAACGCTTTGCCTTCTCTTGACACTTTTCAGTTTATAAAGTAGCTATTGTTTGAATAATTCTGCAGAAAACTGAATATCCTTAGACAACAAGTCTGTCTTTGCTCAAAAAATTCATATCGTATTGGATGAATAATGCCTTGTCTAGATGTCAAATCTAATCTTAAACCAAATAGGAGATTTAATTGTTCCATGAAACTTTCTCCTTTCTTTTTTGCAGTTCGTATGTGCTCTCTTACAGACCCTGTTCCTTTGGTCTATGTACATTACTCTGTATAAAAGAGTTTTTTTTGCTCTTGTTTAGCTTTAATTTCTGTTAATTGTTTGTTACTACGTATTTTATTAAACCGACTAAAAAGTCTATAAAAACAGTATTTGACTAAACCATTTTTGAATGTTTATAAAAGAAATCAGAAATTTGAACAATAATCAAAGACAGAAAACTCGTGTACAGACGAACAAGCTGCTATTTCTGTACTTAGAACGGAGCATGGGAGAGAGCACAGATTTGATTAGATTTCCAGTGAAGTTGCATTTTTTTTCTTCGAGTAAATCAATTAAAATGAATAAAAACTTGAAAGAAAATCGTTTTTTGTGTAAGTATCTTAAGTACAAATAAGCTACCACAGCAGAAGAGTTACATTTGCATCTAATGGGTGACCCAGAATAAATGGCGGTCTCAGTATTTTTCGTTTATCTCTTTCAATATAGCATAGTGTCGAGACTTGCGCTTCTTCTTAAAAGATTTGTCGTTTCATTCTCTACAAAGAACATATTAAACATTGTTCGATACACCGTATAAATAAAAGAATTTAGCTGAAATACTGCAAAGCTTCGATTTCCATTACTTTTAAACCCAAAACACAACGAAAAGATATTTCGAGCATGATGCTATACATCAAAATAGAATCAAAATGCATGTTCTGGTGCCTCGAAGTGTCGTCTTTCATTATTTATTATGTTTAATATGTTCTTTGTAGAGAATGAAACGACGAATCTTGTAAGAAGAAGCGCAAGTCTCAACAATAAAGATTGTAAGAGGTAAACGGAAAATGCTGAGGCCATTTTATTCTGGATCACTCATTACAATTCTGAACCATGTTTTCTCTTTCTATACTGTCGATTGTCACCGGTTACATTTACTGTTAGCCTTTGCCTTCTCACTTATGTTTCTTGGATTTGTCTAGATATTTCTTGGATAACGACCAATCATATATCTTCCATCCTTCCAGTCTTCCAGTTCTCAGTATAGACCGGTCGAGATATTCTACAACTAAAATTCCTACAATCAAGCGCTACTTTCTATTAGTTTTATGTTGAGTTGATAGTGATTAGTTTTAGAAATTTTAGTTCCAGAATTTGCTCCCAGTTTATCTTAATCTTTGTAGATACTATTTTTATTCTTAAGAAATTCTAAAATTTATTTGAGGTCGCGCGAGTCAGCTTTTCTAAACGACTGAAGTTTTCGCTTTAAATTTTAAATCCTTACTACTATGATACTCCGATGCAAAAGGTTATGGTAGAAAACTATACAGTTTACTATCCACTTATGTATTGCTCATTCTGATTTGCTAAAGTTTGGGTCATTAATATAAAATATGGATATACAATGAGACTTTTTTTTCAAGTCACGTCAAGTCAAACACGATGGTTATATGTGACCTTGGAAACTTTTGCGGTTTTATTTCCAAGAGAGTCGAAAATCAATTTAATTTTTAGTGGAACTGTTGTAAAGGTCGTTAGTCGTAGTAATCAATGTAGATCTTATAGTGATGACTTAGCATTATGATGGAACATTCAGAATCAGTATCCTTGAAATCGTAATTTTAATGCTCAAATGCATTCGCTGACTTTAAAAGAACCTGTCAGCCTTGTCTGGAATCAAAAAATGAAATGAAACCGATCCAAGTCTCAATGAAAGAGTGAATACTAGCAAATTTTTATGCAAATGAGAAAATGTATAAAGGTACATTGAATGATACTTTATAATGGGTGACCGCAATTTGTGAAAATTATAAAGCAAGAAAGACGATGCGTTGGATCTGAAGTAGAAAATGAATTTAAGTTTCATCAATAATTCAGTATCTAACTTTTTGCATAAACTTGTCTGATAGTTTTGATGTACGTCTAATTTAGCTGATTGACTGATTCTATCTTCTAGATTTTAAATCTTGCTTTCATTTTGTTGGTTGTTTCATCTAATGCCAAAGCGATTACATAGTACAAGTGATCGTGATGAAGATGCCGATAGTAATTTCGTATCGAATAAACGATCCCGTCGATTAGAGCGTGAAACGGTAAATATTCGATATACTTTAGCTGAGAGAAGGTAAATTATTATTCAGACCTTTGTTTACAGAATGAAATTTGTCAAGACTTATATGATGCTCTACGAACGTACAAGAATGAAGATGGACGAATTATTTGTGAAAGTTTTATTCGTTTACCAAGCAAACGGTATAATTCTTTTATTTGCAGAAAAACAGACTTTGTCAAATAAATTTGTCTTTCGTTCTTCAGAGCACATTCAGAATATTATACTGTTGTAAAACAACCAATTGATTTACTGCGAATTCAACAAAAAATTCGTACTGATGAATATAGAAATTTATCCCAATTTAGTGAAGATATACAATTATTAGTGTCTAATTCAAAATTGTATTATAAAGTATGATTATTTAAGATTGCTTTTTCTCTTCTAAACGTTGACTTGACAATGTTTAGAAAAATTCGTTGGAATGGCGAGATGCCGTTGATTTATGGAATTATTATAATACAAAAAAATCAGAACTAGCTGGTCTTGTTTCACATGATGTAGAACATAGCAACGATAGTATATATAAAAAACGACAATCATCACGAAGGGTAACTGTTTTTAAGAAAAAACGTTATTCGATGACAATATTATAATGAACATTATTCACGGTGTTTTGTTTCTTTCTAGCAATTGGACAGTAACAATGTGGAATACGATAATGATACCGAAAGTAAAGCAAGTGACTCAACAACAAATGATGATACAAGAACATCATTATTATCTGAACCATCACCACCCTTTTCTCAACAAACTGGTACAACGTTACCATCTAAAACATCTGGACGAGGAAGACGAAAAAAATTAGTAGAACCGGAAAATTCTTTAGTCAATGGTGACGTTATGACAGTTAAATCTGACGATAGTAATTCAACTGAACAATCTCAACAACAAAGGATTGATCCATATTATCTTGAAGAATTTTTTACAGCTGTTTATAATGCAAGAGTAGATGAACGACCAATGTCTGATATATTTTTATTTGTACCATCAAAAAAGGTATATTATAAATCGTATTATTAATTAATTATATAAATCATTTTTATTTCGTTTTAGTTATATCCTGATTATTACGAAGTAATAAAAGAACCAATTGATTTAAAAATGATAGCAAAAAAAATCCAGTCGAATGAATACATTTCACTGGAAGATATGGAAAATGATCTTTTAATGATGGTGTCTAACGCAAAAAAATATAATGATCCAAAATCTCAGATATACAAAGTAGACACACTTTTCACTATTCGTTAAAAGTATATACAATTTATATTTCTTTACAGGACGCATGTGCACTCAGAAGAACGATTACAACTGTTCGAAATGAATTAGATATGGCGAGAAAAAATTCAAAGTCTTCGAATGATCGATTAACGTAAAAAAATGAATGAATAAGTAATATTTACATTATAATATTTTGTTCTATTTTAGACCACGTACACGTGATCAACTATTATCAGCTGAAGTTCATCAGCTCGAATATCCTCCTGATGAAGATGTCATTATAACTTACACTAACGAGGATGTTGATTCTGGTAAGAGAATAGACTTTATTATAAAAAATGATACGTAGTATATTGTTAATTTTGTTATTCTAGAAGGAAGTTCATTGGGTGATGATGAAGATTCATTTCGTTTATTGTATAATGCTGTTAAGAGTTATAAACTTGGTGCACAAAGTTTAATTGATCCGTTTATGAAATTACCAAATCGAAGGTAATCATAAGCTAATTATTTAATAAGAAAATAGATTTGTTAGTTTGAAATTTGCATGTATGAAAAAAGAGTTTTAAATTATTCAGTACTTGTATCTAATATTATATATTTTAGATTTTATCCTGATTATTATGAAGAAATTAAACGACCAATAGCTATGTCATTAATTAAAAATCAGATCAAAGTAATTTCAATGTTATTTTATGAAAAACAGCTTTAATAGATATTTATTTTGTCATTTTAGAAAAATCGTTATATTTGTCTCGCTGATTTAGTCGATGATTTACAGTTGATGTTTGCAAATGCAATGCAGTACAATCAAGAAGGCTCATTAATTTATAATGTATGTATTAAGTGTTTTCTAATATTAGAAGATTTTTATGAACTTTTATTTCTCTGTTTTGTTTTAGAGTGCAAAAAAATTACTTGATGTTGCTATTTTAAAAGCACATGAATTAGGATATGACGAAAATAAACGATTAAAGGATTATCGAAATATTGTTGTATGTAGAAAACTAATCTTATTAATTTCGATCGATGTATCTAGTATTCTACTATCTCATTTTAGGCAGATATAAAGGAAGAACCATTGGAATCATCACCAACACATTATGGAGCACAACGATATTCTGATAACAGTGGCACAGTGACCCGAACACCTTACGTATGTTACATCTTGAAGTGAATTGATACTGTATGGTAAATCACTTTTATTCCTTTTAGATCACTGGTCAACGTGGTCGTCCACCAAAAAAAGCTGTTAAATTTACCGAGCAAAACATTCGTACTATATACAATTTTATACGAGATTATCGCGTTAGTTGTTTGTCAAAATGACTAATCTTGATTTTGTAATACGTTCAATTAACTTTATTTTCTTTAGGAAAATGATATTTCATTGATTACACCCTATTTACAACTTCCATCTACATCAGATTATCCAGATTACTATGAAGTGATACACACACCAATTGATATGGGAATAATCAAAGATAAAATGGAAAAAGGAATGGTATATTGTTTAAAAACTTTTTTTATTTTCATTGTTTCAAATATGCACTTTTTTTTCGTTTAGTACAAACGTGAACAAGATCTTGTTGATGATTTATCGAGAATGTTTAATAATGCAAAAAAATATAATATGGATGATTCACCGATATATATACATGCTTGTGAATTAGAACGTGTTTTAAATGAACAGTATCGAATACTAATGGCTAAGAAGGAGGTTGCTTTATTGAATTTTAATGCTGCAACGCCACCATCGTCTACAAACAATCGTTCAATTGGACAAGGAACAACAAAAAAGTATGATAAAATATTATTAAAAATTTTGTTTAGTTTAAACGTAGATTTCTTTAGATGTCCAAGTTTTTCAAGTTTAAAAAACTTACAAGATAAACTAAATTGTTTATTCAATTCAATTAAAACTTACACATCTCATCAAGGACGTATATTATCTACAGAATTTTTAATATTACCATCGAAAGTAGATTATCCAGATTACTATGAAATAATTCAACGACCCATCGATATGCAACGAATTCAACAAAAATTGTCTGCAGGACTTTATTCATCTTTGAACGACTTAATCAATGATATTCAGTTGATGTTGGATAATGCATGTCTTTACAATGAGCCGGGTTCAACCATATATAAGGTAAATGACGATCATTTTTCTCCATTTGATTTTATTTACAAATTTTTTCTTTCTACTAGGATTCATTATCTTTACAACGTGTGTTGATAGAAAGAAAACGTGAATTAACCAGTGCTGATAACAGCATTCCAGATGTACAATCACTTGTCGGCGAATTAATGCTTCGCTTGTTTATTGCTACGTTCAACCATGAGGTACGCAAATGTAGAGTAAAAGGAATGTTAATAAAGTTAGGGGTATCTCATCTCATCTCATTTAAGACTAAATTTTCGGCTTGAGCATCCCATCTTATAAGCTAAGGTAAATAAGGTTTGCGATATAAACTAGGGAACATTATAAGAATTTCAGAATCAAAGAGCAGAATTTTCTAAACAATTTTCAGTCACTTTCGAATAAAATGTTGAAAATACGAAAAATTTAATCTCGAATATATCGTCTCAACTACCTATAGTGGTATTTTCAGACCGATCAAATGAAATTTTAATGAGATCGTAATCTATTGCGATTAATATCATAGTGTTCCAGAAAAAAATCTATTAAAACATCTTTTCAGAAGATGTGAACAAAAACATATTGATTTTCTTTTTCCATTTGCTACTGTAGTAAAAATTTCCGGTGAATTCGACGTTATCTCTTCATTTTGTAATGATTGGCAAACAGAGAGAGTGTTCTCCAGTGTTGAAATTTCACTAAATGTCTGTTCTATATGTGACTAGTTGATTTGGTTAGTTGTTCATGTTGCATGAGCTAAAGAACAGAACAGACCGGCTATAACTGGTTTATGGTAAAAATAAAACACAAAACAGGATAGAAGACAAGGTAAAATGAGCGAGACATAAAGAAAGAAAGAAAGAAAAGGATTTAAACGTAGCGACTGTGACTGACTAGTTTCCACTTGAGTGACGAAGTCCTTTGTTTATTGATACTGAAATGATCCTTAGCCGATTCTGAAGACAAGTTCTTGTATCAGTCATACTCTTTCAGTCTGATAACAGCCTATTTTCTAGACAGTCTGAATATATATAGTTCTCTTTTAGGACGAAGAATGTCGATGCTTTAGTGATTCGTTTGCTGATCTACCCGAACGAAGTGAGAACGAGCCGTAAGTACATTTATTTTTATTTTTTTATAAGATCTTAATTACTTTTTTCTCTTTTATTTATTAGATTTGAGCTTCCTTATACATTTGACTTTATAAAACGGAACCTTGATCGAGTATGTTCAAATTTATTGTGAACTCCATAATAAATCTTACGATTCATTTTTATATTCTAGAAACGATATCGTCGTTTAGATGTTTTTCAAGATGATATGTTTAAAGTATTCGAGCGTGCAAGAAAACTCAGTAGAACTGATTCACAGGCAGGTTACAATTATGCGTTCTTCAGCGTCACATTTTATCTTGGCGTGTTATGCATTTTAGTTGTATGAAGATTCGATTGAATTACAAATGTATTTCATACGTACCAGAAATGAAATGTGTTATCATGGAAAATTATTAAATTCGCCAGCATTATTCTATAACGAAACGGATTTAACTCAAGATCTAGCGAAAGAAAGAAATGAAAAAGGCTTAAATAACAGTATAAATTCAGATTTTGATGAAAAAAAAGAGGAAAACACAAGAGTAAGTTTTACAAAATAAGCGCATGCTTTGAAAAAAATAATAAAAAAATTTACTACTGATATAAGAGAAGTGGAATAGTTTTGTTCATCAGTTATTTTCAATCAATATTTTAGCAATCTGTGCCACCATCGGCCGAACAGAGCTCATCGCTTAAAGGACAAACGTTTTATTTGGGTGACTTTGTCTATATTCAACCAAGGTAAGAGAATGAAGTGAAAGAGAAGTGCATATGAAAAATTCATATTGATATTCTAGAGAAGAAGTATGCGATCCACATATTGTTTGTATTGAATCATTTTCACGAGAAAATAACGAAGATTATTTGAATGGCCTATGGTTTTATCGTCCAGATGAAACTTATCATTTGCCAACAAAAAAATTTTTAGAACAAGAAGTATTTTTAACCAATACTGTTGAAAGTGTTCCGGTATCAAAAGTAATCGGTCATTGTTATGTGTTGCATGTCAAAGATTATTTTAAATATCGTCCAGAAATTATTGATCAAACTACTACAACAAGTATACAGATTGACGATGATAAAGATGTTTATGTTTGTGAATCACGTTATAATACAAAAACAAAAATGTTTAAAAAAATAAAATGGTGGAATGTGCCGGATAATAATCGTGTTAAATTAGTACAACGAGATAAACCATTGGAAGCTAGTCGAGATGTTTCAAGATATGTTAAAAATAAACAGCCAAATTCACAAGATGAACAACAAAAGCAATCAGATATTTCTGATTTGAATGACTTGTTATTTTTATCATCAACTGAAGTAATTGAAAAACTAAAACATACTCTACCAATTAATTATTCATCACCTCAAAAAATAAATGATTGTTTAATACAAGAACAAGAACAATCAACAGTAATGAAACAGTATTATGAACAAGTGGCATTCTCAAATAAAGAATGTTATAAACTAGGTATGTGAATAAATTAAAAGTTAAAATTAAATTAATTGAATCTTATTCTCATTTATTAAGGAGACTATGTTTACATATCAAATTGTACCAACGAAATTAATAACAATGATTCCGAAAAACGTCTCATTTTGAGGATTGATAAAATATGGAAAGAAAATGAGTAAGAGAAATTCAATTTTGTCATTTTAAAGAAGTCTAATATGGTGTTTTGTATTATTATTTTTTCTTCAAAGAAATCCATTCTCGATGTGTGGACCACTATTTATTCGTCCAAGTGATATCATAAATCGAGAACAATTAATCTTAACAACAAAACCTAATTATGAAAGAGAAGTTTTAAAACGTGATAACAGCAATACAATTATTACAGTGACAAATATCATTGGCAAATGTTCGGTATTATCGTTAAAACATTATTGTACATGTAAGAAATTTAAATACTTATTTCTTTTTACTACACTAATCTAACATTTGTTTATTTTAGCACGTATAACAGAAATAGTTGAATCCGATGTTTATTTATGTGAATCGAAATATATTAGTGATGATCATAGTATTAGAAAATTATCCAAAGGATTAAAGGTAAAAATATGTGAAGAGTAAATTTTTTCTTTGAATAAAATATGAGTGTACACGAGAATACGTTCTATCAGTGATGTATTCTTCTATATAATATCTTGTTTTCTATTTATCTTTTAGAGACCTTCATTGTCAGCAAAAGCGTGCAGAGATGAAATTTATACATTCAAGAAAGAACTCTTACTTCGACGAGTATGTATACGTATTTGTTTCGTTTTCTATTGTTTGATTCTAATGCATATCACAAGAATAAATGAAAAGTGAAGTTTTATGCTTTCAAGACTATAAGAGAAACTGATCGATTTTCAGTTGGATGGATGCCTTTGTTTAATATCAGTCAAGAGCAATTTCAACTTTTTTCATCAACATGAGGTTCAACACTGTAAATAATAAAATATGGAAACTGATGACTGAATACATTAGTTTTCAAAAATATTTTTTCCTATTTAGATTTCTTAAAAATAATCGATAATTACAATCGAAAAAACATTGTAGTAGTCTTTTTTCTATAAGAGAATTTGAATATTTACAGCTTTCAACATTCATTTGTGTTTTGAATTAAGTGAATACTAGACTTTGATAAGAATTACATGAGACTAGAACATATTATAGACGAACGAACATTTTTCGATCGATCAAATCGTTATGACCATTCCATCTGGTAATCTCTTTTCATTATTATTCTTTCCATTTTTCTCTTCTCTACTATCGTGTTACCGTCGTGATAGTAATGTTTTTTCTTTTCTTTCTTTTTCTTTTTTCCTGTTCGTCTTTAACAAAAATATTCTTTTTATATTTCTCCCCATTTTTGTTGTCGTCGTCAATCATTTTGTGAGAATTGAGTTGGTATGTGTGTACGTACAGAAGGGACGTAAAGCCCTCATGAAAAACAATCCACTCGTCTGTATTTTTTTTTTCCTTTCTGTATATTAATCGAAATTGTACTGTACTACTACGAAGGGGAATACGATGACTATTTGTATGAGCTTATAACGGAAGGAAAAGAAATAAGAGAAAAAAAAAAGTCTGGAATCATAAAAAAAAAAAATTTGGCGTTCTTAAATATACATATTGTTTTGAAGAAGAAGGATAGAAAGACGTATAGTTGAACGCAACGCCATATAGTGTTAAATTGTTTTAAACGAAAAGATATAGAAATGATAAAAATAAAAAATTTTTTATTGAGCTGTACAGTTTTCTTTTTTGTCTAAATAATTTTAAACGTTTCTCTTTTCTTCGTTCATTTCTCCTCCTATACTTGACGTCGTACGTAACGAAAAAAAAAAAGAAGAAGATATCATTAACCCCATAATATTTTATTACGTGTATTTGTTCTGTTTCTGAAACACAAGAAGAAAAAAAGAAAAACGACGACAACAACGACGACTACAATTATTCTTCGTTTCTGTCGTTTATTACGTACTACAGTAAAACATAATAATAATTATTATTATTTTATATAGTCATTTATTAATATTGTTACAATTATTAGCTCGTTTTTTTTCAAACAGAGAAACGAAAGAAAAATAAAAAAAGTCAAAGTCGTTCTTTTCCCTTATATCCATCCATATACACATCGATATATATATATATCCATTCTTACGTCGTTTTTCTTCCTCGGTCCGGTTTTTTTCGTTCCTTCGTCTTTGTTTTGAAAAAAGCAGCATTCTGGAGATAAAATTAGAAAAGGTAACAAATCTTGGATGAGTTATTTGTCCCATTCCTTTTTTCTACCCCTGTTGTTCTGTATTATTTAGTTTTTTTTCTATCCTCTTCATTCATGTTCTTTTCGTCTTTTGACTGATGATTAGTAGCAAGTGTGAGAGAGAGAGAGAAAGAGAAAGAGGGAGCATCTCATTTAAAACATTTTTAATTTTTTTTCGGGATTTATACGGAGAAATAAGCCTGTTAAACACCATGTAAGATAATAGTTGAAGAAAACCAGAACAAAATATTGAACTATTTAAAAATTGTATATGTTTTTTCTTTAAAAGGATTTATCTGTTGCTCAATTTAAATCATCTGATGATGTTTCACTTATGGATACAACCAGTGGATTTTATAATCCAATTACAGATGATAATAGCACTGTCGATGGAGATGAAACAAATATAAGCCTTGAAACAACACCATCAAATCGAGGACGAGTATGTCACACACATATATATTGAGAGAAATCAGATTTCTTTTTCTTTTGTTTTGTTCTATTATGTTATTTTTTGTATATTCTAGAGAGGTGCAAGACGTTCAACACGTAATCCATGTGGATATTTAGTGTACGCTAGTGAAGCACGAAAACGTTTAATTAAAGATAATTCATCAATACCATTTGGAGAAATGAGTCGAATGATTGGAGAACAGGTAAATATTTCAAAAGAATTTTTTAACTTTATTATCATATTCTCTGTTTATGTATAGTGGCGTCGATTAACAATAGCTGAAAAAGATAAATATGAAGAAAAAGCACGTGAACGAGCAAAAGAACAGGAAGTATGTAGTTTGTTTAGATAATTATTAAAATACTCTAAGAATTTGTTTATTTTTCAAATTAAATTTTAGGCCGAAGAGCAGAAAAGACTTGGATCGACGTATCAACAAACATCATCCATGAATTCAAATTATCCAGTTCCAAATGATAATCATGGTAAGAGAATGAGTCAATTTAATCGATTCTTTTCAATGATTGTTCACTTTATCATCATTATTTTCATTTATAGGAGGATATACGAATAATGCGTATGGAGTGGGTAATAATCCACGAATGGTAAATGGGTGTGGACCAATAATGAATGGACATTATCAGTCTAATCCAAATATGTCAGGTAGAAAGATAAACAAAACGGGGCACTTAATAAACCGAAAATATCAGTGTTATATACAAGTATGTAAACTTTTAGGTCTGCAAACTTCCAACAAACCAGCGCTGACATGTCCACCAAAAACACAACGTCTAGTTCATTCCGAAGCTTATTTAAGGTAAAATAATATTAACTATGTTTTGTGATAATTTTATCATGTTTTTGTATCATTACAGATATATTGAAAATTTGAAACCAGACAGTCCTTATATTAGTGACTGGCCAAAACAATTGAAAGCATCGATAAATGGTTCTTCCTCATCTTCGTCATCATCCTTTTCCTATCCACAGAATAGCAACATAAACACGACGAATAATAACGGTAATAGTAATAATAATAATGTTCGATCGTTGCCGAGTCACTGGTTGGTAAATGGATCAGGAATGTATAATAATGTTGTCGAAGCTTTATGGTCTATGCGTGACAATATGTTTCAAGATGTTATTAGAATAAGAGATGTACTTTCGCATGAATGGTAGCATAAATTATTTTATTTAGCAAAAGAAATTAGTCAAGTTAAGTTTCACAGTGTCAAATATTATCATTATACAATGTGTATATGTCGACATGATGTTTTTGTTATAATTTTTTTCTATTCTTTTTTCCGTTCCCAAGAAAAAGTACCGTTTTTTTGCAACCAGAAAAAAAAAATTGCAAATGTTCTTTGTTTTTTTTCATATCGTGGGTTTTGTTGAAACTGATGTATTTCTGTTTGTATATACTAGTGCTTCTATGTATTGCACTCAGGTTTTTATTGAGTTTGCAATAAAACTAGTAGTAGTAGGCGAAAACAAAAAATTATCTTTGTCCTGCCTTTCCTGTTTATTCTGTATGTGTTATATGTGAATGAACTTTTTCATCGTCAGACAGAAATCAGCATACGATTAATAAATACTAATGGAAAAACAGGCTTGCTGAGTGCAAGGATCTGCTCACATTTTGTTGTACAATTATTTTTCATCTTTTATTTTGTTTTCTTATTTTCCATACGTTTTTGTTTTTGTTTAGTGTATAATATATAAAAAAGCGGAGACAAAACAAGTCCCCTCATGGTTTATTCTTCTGAAACAGACTACTGCATTTTGTCATTTAATAGATAAAATAATGCTTTAAGATGAGAGTAAACATTCTTCTACTACATGATTCAGATAGGCGATTTTGAGTTTTCCACAATGAGTAGCAATTTGTGCTTCTTGTGTTCAAAAACTTTAGGTCACCTACTGGTGGAAGAAAATTTAGATTACTCGATGAGAACTGGCTTTATCTCATTAGGATTGGATACCAAGATGTCTAATCGGTTGAAGAGTCTAGATAATTCTTAAATCAATAGAGCTTGTTTGATGACTTTGATGAGCTTGTTTAAGACATTGATGGAATAAAAATATCGTCTTGATACCACTAAAACTGATTCGGTCGATAGTATGAGATAGTGTTCGAAAGACAACTTAGTGAAATTATAGTTATAGGTACGTACAGATTATTACGAGTCAATGATTGACGAACAAGTATGTACGGTCAAATAAATTTCATTTAATACGTCTGTTCAAGATACCAAGTCGATATTAGATAGTGGTTACAATTGAGGAGATCTAGCATTGGTTTTCTTTACATAGTTATCGTCTTTTTCGGATTTTTTTTCGGCACATTTCGTTTAAGAGAAAAAAATTAGTGCAAGTCTATTAAAGGAGAGCATTTGCTTTCGTGAGATATTTTTCTTCAATTGTATATAGTGTGTACAAACAAATAAACGTGCTTCAAAAGCAGTAGCAAAAACACTAAAATTTAGGCAACGATGTCATACAGTTCGTATGTACTCTTGTGTTAATCTGAGTTTTTTTATTGAGCTTTACAAATTCGACACTCAGACTCCTGTTCATTACAGCTTTAGTTACATATACCTTCCTGTTACGTTCTTGACGTACCAATTAATTCCAGTTATTTACCGACAACTTTGAGCTCTTTGAATTTTATAAACGGTCGCCGTACTAATACTAATAGCCCTTCTAATGATATTATTCTAATCCATTTATCTTGCCATCGGTAGTATGTTCATTTTTAGCCGAAAGATGCAGCCCGAGTACAGATATTTTGGAGGTTATCTGTTGAAAAAGAATTTGCAACATACTGTGCCTTCAACAGCGGATGTAGTTTTCGACGAATCCAGATGTTATTTCTCGATCACTACGCAGTAGAACTCCGTGTGGACTGGACTGAAAATCTTTTGAGTTGATGGACTTGGACTTTGGACTAGTCTCGAAAAAAAATTTTGGATTTATTTGAAGCGAGGAAAAACAGGTTGTTTTTGTATTGTGGATTGGGCAGGACTACTTTTTTAGAGTCCATGGACTTGGACTGGACTCAGCATTTCGAGCCCATACGGAGCTCTTCTACGCATGCAGGCTCGCTGATCATAAGGTTTGTAGATGTATTCTGAACTGAATTATAGCATATATAATATGCTAGAAGGCGTAGGTTCATTAATATTGATTAGTTAAATTATTTAGTATCACAGTGAAGTACACCACCTTCTCTCAGACACTTTTCAACCCTAACATTATACTTTTTTAACAGACATATCTTGCTTTTATATTTCTCGTATATGTTACATTAAAAAAACAAGAAAAGAAAACCAACAACAAACAAAAGCTGAAGTTAAACAATAAAGAGATGAAAAACAAGCAAAAACACAAAATCAGTTCGCTGATGTTTGAAGTAAACAAACAAAGAAAAAAACATATACATAACAATCGACAACAAGTTCACTGAGATAGTGTATTTGACTTCTTCATTTTTGAAAATAAGAAGAAAAATACAGATAGTACTGGAACGACTACGACAACGAGAGCAAGAGCACAAAAAAATGTTCAAGTGAAGTCTAGGAGTTCGTCAACATCAGTAAAATATTTCTAGGAATAAATGAATCAAACAAGAAAAATAGATATTTTACTTGTTCGACAAGATTGAATACACACGAAGGATCCATAAGAAATTGACCTTCAATGGGAAAAAAAACAAATACGGGGAAGAAAAACAAGAGAATATTTTCGAGAAAAAAGATGATTAATTGTTTACGTACTACGACGATCGAGATTCAGTTATGAATCGCGTTTTTTTATCTATCTTCATAATACATGAAGGAAAGAAAAGTATTTTCAATTGTCGCACGCAGGTACAGAAAAACAAACGGATAAAGAACAGAAACAGTAAATTCTCTCAACTGGGTGGTGGAGGGGGTTGTGAAGAACTGGGAGGCAATGGTGGCTGTTGAACACCTGTCCAATATTGTGGATACATTTGTGGTGGATATGCTGCCATTGAATAATAACTGGCATATGGATTTGACATTGGGGGTGGTATTTGATAATTACTGTTCGATGTTGATGTACTTTGACTAGTATTGCTATAAGAACTTTTGGACGCTGACGCTGGCTGTTGTGTCCTTTGAGATGCTACCGTAGATACTGATGAACTTGAATTATGTTGTTGCTCTTGTTGTCGTTGATAGTTTGTTGTTGTTCCATTCGATGATGATGAATATTGTTTTCGTTGAGATTGTGATTCATCCTGAAGGATAATTATGAATAACGAACTGTAATTTGAAGTATATTATAGGATGGGATTTTGGGTTTATGAAGAAATATTAATAATATCCGCCCTTAATGAAACCAAAAAGAAATATGTTGCCAGTATGTTCGCCGCTGTTATGGTTGGAGGAAGAGAAAAATTCGGGCCTAGGGATTATTCTTGGTCACTTGACTACGAACATTTAAAGTGACGGTACCTGTCTACAACTTTAAATGAAATTTTCTCTTCACAGAAAAAATCACTAGTAATAAGTCATTTCGCTTAAGATGCACGAAGACATACTTATACGACTACTCTTATTTTATGGGTGTTATTCTTGAATAAAGTCAGAGGCAAGAGAATGTCTACGAGAGACAATTTTTTCATTATGAAGAATTCTTATGTCAAATTTATCGTGGAATAAAAACTCACCGTTCTAGGGCGTTTGAAATCATTTCCATAGCCATTACTATTCATTCCTCTATCACTTGTTGATCCGTGAGATCCAAAACCACTCCCTCGGCGTTCAAATCCACCGCTCTGTGGTTTACTAGCTCCACCTATCGGACTTCGAGATCTCGATCTTTTTGCGCTGAAACCTCCAGGACGAGAACCGCCACGATTATTCCCAAATCCACCACGAGATTCGCCAAAGCCGCTACGATTTCCTCCGTAACCTCGACGATCAAATCCTAAATGAAAATAGAATCGTGTAGAACTTCCGTTATAAATCAAAGAAAACGCAGGCTTACCTCCTCGCATTCCTCCTCTTCCACCTGAAAAATACTTCGTTTTAGCTATTTCATATAATTTTTCATTGACATCTTGATTTGAATCTTTTAATAATTGTATTAGTTCATTTGCTTGTTTTCCATTTTCACGTGTGAAAAATGTGTACGATGTTCCTTTCATATTAGAACGTGCTGTACGACCAATTCGATGAATATAATCTAAAGTATAGGCGTTGAGAGTTTATTTTCTAATAAAAGACGACTCACTTACCTTCAGCTTGAGGTGGATAATCCAAGTTTATAACAACACGAACATCTTCGACATCTAAAGAGAGAAATAATGAATAACTAACAAGAAAAAATAAAAATTATTAATATTAACGGGAGCACAAGACAAATTTTATTAGAAAACAATGCACATCCACCGGTAGAGTACAAAAATCTAACAAAAGCCTTGTTTTATAATGTTATGAATGGATGCAATTATATGCGGTTTTTGAATATTCAGGAAACTTTGCTCATCACTCGGAATTAACTGAAAACTATTCGTTTTTACTAGATACAGATCAGCTTCTTTTGAACGATGTCATAGACTTACCGTTTTACCACTTCACATGTGTGGTGTGTGCGTGTGT